CTCTTGTCTAAGAACAGCCTTCCTACAGGCAGGACAGAGAGGACCATTTCGGGAAAAGCGATGTGGAAGTCGACGCATACGATTTTGGCATGTCTGCTCTTCACATATCAACCAACCCTATGGATAAAAATGATAATTTAAAAAATCAAACTTTATTTCTGTCCAAAATGAGTTTAACCTTATTAGTCACATAATCTACTATATAGAAGTTTTAATGCAATCTCTGCTGAAGAACTTCAGAACTTGCTATGCAACAATACAGATCAATGGAAGTAGACAACTTTGCAGGAAGGTAAACTGAAACAAAAACCAATATTGTGCAATATAAATATAAACAATATAAATATTACAACGTCTTAATTTCCCTACTATGTAATTATGCTATATATTTTGATACAACCTGCTCTGTCTACCCACAAAAGTACCTTCTAATAGCTATCACAGTCTTGGAAAGGTAGCCATATAAGTATGTTGCAACAAAATTAACAAAGAACATTTTATGGCATCTAAGGGCTAACAGATTTATACACTTTTGTACCAAAGTCCTTTTCATCAAATGCAGTGTTTGCAGTTGGCAGCTAAAATTTACTTATACATTTGCACACGCACACATAAAAGTAGAAGAAAAAAGTAAATCGTGGAGCCAAAAGACATCTGGAACACTTGCATTTCATGACCTTTTGGCCTCTTTACATTTCTTTCTCTCTCTCTGAATAAGCACACATGCCAACTGAATTAACATCTAAATGTGTATTATGAAATGAGCTCCAGTCATAAACACAAACGCTTATTCCGGGATAAATGTATTCGATTTTAGAGGTCTGTAAGACCGGAAGACTTTATATAAGGTCTTTAGTCTAGAACTCTGTGTAACTTTATATGTTGTTGTCAACACACAGTTAAGCAATTGTAGGGATGCAATATGGCTGAATGTAATCTCATTTAACTCTTTGGATTAAGAGATTCCCCCACCATCAATAAAAGCTTTTAACCAATGCTCCCTCTAAACTGTGGAGTCTTGTGAGCAAAAATTCTACTTTGTGAGCTGCTGGCATTAAAATGTGAGCGAGCAATTTGGCTACTGCATAAATTAGTTTGCTCTGGAGCAATCTTTCTTGAGCTAAAACAAAAATGTGTAAGCCAGAGGCTAAAAAACTGTGAGCTAGCTCACACTAGCTCAGCTTAGAGGGAACACTGCTTCTAACACATACCCAAATAGATGGCCACAAGTGAAGAATATCTTGTTGGAAAAACAAGAAGAAAAAGATAATAGTTATTTTTAAATAAATGTGGATTATTCATGCAAATAAAGCAATGATACACACTACAGGAAAGATTACTGTTGGTTTGCAGAAAGGTTAGAATGTTTCTCACCAAATACTTACAAACCTTGGAAGAAAGTATGGGAGACCAAAAATTCTTATCCAAACTCTATACCCTTAGAGTTGCAAGACTTTAAGATCTTAACGAGGTGGTACTTGACCCCCCAACGTTTATCCCACATTCACCCAACAATTTCTCCAAAATGCTGGAAACAGTGTGATGGATTAGGCACATTTGCCCACTCCTGGTGGGAATGTGAGAAGATAGCGAAATTTTGGGAGGAAATAAAACTAATGGTTCACAAAGTTACAGGGTTAGTAATCTCAATAAAACCTGAAAGTCTTTTCCTAAAACACTGGCCGCTTCACATTGAAACACATCATTACAAACAAACCTTGGATGTTATGATTTATGCAGCCCGTACAGCGATTGCTACATGTTGGAAAGACCCGAAACCTCCAACTCTGACATTGTGGTACCAAAAACTATGGGATCAATTCCTCATGGATTCTGTCACCAGAAAAGTAAATAGATCGGCCTTGAAACCTGTGGTTAAACCCATAATGGAAAAATGGAACCCCATTTTAGAATTCCTAGCATCAGAAGATATTCTGCCTCCTTCCTGGCAACAAATGCAGAGATGGGTGTAATTGTTCTTGCGATATGATAAACAATATTGGATTGCTTTATTAACTGTTTCCTCGTTTATGCTTCTTTCATGCATGGTTAGTATTTATACTTAGGTTCATAAATCTCTGTAATTAGTGGACTTTCTGATACCTCGAAAAGTTTCATGTTAATTTGACTCCGTTAATCTGTTTCAAAAGTTGGTATGAACTGTTCGGACTCTCGATACTTCAATGTGTAAAGGATCAGTTATTTTTTTTTAACATATTGGATTTACATTATATTTGTTATATGATAAAATAAATAAACTATATTTAAAAAAAAAAAAGAATGTTTCTCACTTGGTCCAAAATGTGGCCAGGGCCGGCTCACTCACTAGGTGAACTAGGCACTCGCCTAGAGTGCACCGGCCCTTAGGGGCACCAAACTGGCACCCCCCCCCCCACTGTCCTGGTTCAGCTGCAAACACTACTGAGTTTTAAACATGTTATGATCTTTCTGATGATACAAACACCAATTCCACCAAAGAACTTAGCCCTCTGGGCACAGAAGGGTCACTCAGCTGAGTCAAAGAAGAATCCAAGGAGGGGGGCTATTACATAAGGACACTCAAGTTGCAACTGACTTATGGCAACCCCAGCAAGGAACTGTCAAGGCAAGTGAGAAGCAGAGATTTTTTGCGACGGCGAGTGCCTTTCTTTGCAGAGTCTTCCTTGGTGGAAGCCAGATGTGCAAAGCAGGCAAAGTTACAAAAGCAAAAGTGAGTGTTAAGCGCATGGGTGCCAGGGGAACGGGAGGTCTGGGGTACAGATCCAATTAACGGGTCCGAGCCATAGTGGGCACATGGGGGGGGGGCGCCAGAAGGGATCCTCGCCTAGGGTGCAAAATAAGCTGGGGCCAGCCCTGAATGTGGCACTATTGAACCCAGTCATGAAAGCAATCAGCCCACCAAGATTACCCGGAAGTACTGGAAGCTAACTCATCCATTAGCTTTAACTGTGATTACCTCTGATGTTTCAGAAGAATTCCCCCAAACTTGACTACTGAAGTATCAACTTAAAACTATACAATACCTTGCATGTATTTCCCATTTGTTTAAAATTGTTGGGTGGTTGTTTCTGTGAATGCTTTAAAATAAGGTGAATGCATAGTATTTTCTCAGTAATATGTAATCTAGCCTTATTAGTAGGATTGCCAGCCTCCAGGTAGGGCCTGGATATCTCCAGGAATTACAACTGATCTCCAGATGACAGAAACCAGCCCCCTGGAAAAAAATGGCTACTTTGGAGGGTGGACTCTCTGGCATAATATACCAATGAGGTCCCATCCCTCTCCAAACCCTGCCCTCCCCAGGCACCACCTCTAAAATCTCCAAGTATTTTCCAATCTGGAGCTGGCAACTCTTATTTATTAGTGGACAGCTTACATCCATTTAACTTTTGTAGACCTGAATCACGAACACAAAGGGATCTTAGAAGATATAACTGTTTTCTTTTTGTTTCATTGACCATACCATGGATCAATACTTGTTCTTCTTCTTATTTTCCCACTTTGAATTTTATTTTCTTATCCCAATTTTTCAATCTATATATCTAATTTCCAACAGAGGGCGTCGCGTGCGGATACTTATTTCCACTAACAGGAAGCTCACTCTGCCCCAACAGCTTTTCCTACATAGTCAGTATACTTCCTGTGTCTGCAGAAAAATCCAAGAAGTAAAAGAATCCCTTCAGGGACCCCCCAATACCTTTTGAAATGGCTTCTGCAGGAATCTAACTCCAGGCATCAACGGTGAGAGAGAGATTGGAACGTTCAGGGCGGGGGGAGGGGGCTTCTAACTGGCTCTGTGAGTCAAAGGGCGGGGGAAGGGGCCTTTGCTGGCCTCTT